CTACTGTTTATCAAATGTATATTTTCAGTAAAAAATACAATCACATTTATTTAGTGCGCTTAAACATAATATAATATATTTTGTAAAAAATAAAAGATGATTCTCCAACTTACAAATTCATTTTGGGAACTCATTTGGGATTGTGATCCTGGTAGCTGAATTTATCTAATTTAAGGCATCATTGATCTTTGTGATTTGCAGGAGCTTCAAAATGCACAAGGAGGAACAGGGGACACCTCTGTCATTCTATCTATGAACAACAACCGGGACCTGGACCTGGATGGCATGCTAAGAGACATAAAGAAACAATATGATAGTGTTGCAGAGAAGAGCAAACAAGAAACACAATACGCACTTTCCCTTAAAGTAAGTCCATTCCACCGACTTTTGCACATTTACCAAAACCCACAACAAGTAATTAGATCAAACCCCTTAGTCTGTGTAGATAACTTGTTAAGACTTAGGAAACAAGTTATGGGATATTCATTGATAAAAACTGTTATGCACAAATTGTAAATTGATGATCATATACACCTTAACTGTATTGCTATTAGAAGCTTGTAATCGTATATAATTTGTTCATATTTTTAAAAGATTAACGATAAGTTAATAGATAGACAGATAGGTATGTATATGTACTCATCTGAGTAAAGGAGGACAATATTAGGGAACCAGGAATTATGCATCTACAGGATCTAGGGATGCTTTTCTGTAGTGTTGTACTCTGAAGACCTGACCTGGTTCTTCATTATCTTTTCATCTAGTACTTTATTTTTGTTGAATTTATTACATTTTTATTAACATTACTCTTGGAACTTCTTTTCTTCACAACAGATGCAGCAACTTCAGTCTACAGTTGGAAAACAAGGAGACAACCTAAAGAGCACTAAGAGTGAGATTTCAGAACTGAACCGTATGATACAGAAACTGAGATCTGAGATTGAGAGTGTCAAAAAACAGGTATCTTGTTGATATGTATTATTTTCTTTGAAAGGCTTGTGACTCATTACACAAGCAACGTCTTATACACTGTGTTGCAGAAACATTCATGTCGACCTTTTTCAGATTAGCAGGACAAAGATAATTTAGACTCTAAAATTACAATATTTCTGCAGATTGTGGCTCTGCAAGCTGCAATTGCTGATGCTGAGGGACGTGGGGACCTTGCAGTGAAGGATGCCCAGAAGAAGTTGACTGACCTTGAAGCTGCTTTGCAGAAGGCCAAAGAAGACCTGGCCCGTCAAATACGTGACTACCAAGAGTTATTGAGCGTCAAGATTGCCCTTGATGCGGAAATCTGCACATACAGAATCCTGTTGGAAGGAGAGGAGGACAGGTTAGTTCAACACGATCCACTTGAAATATTCTGAGCCACGCAAATTAATCTTTTCTAGCAAGGAGATCATAAATTGCAGCCTCACATTTTCATTAGTACAGATTGTACTAATACAGTACAGCAGCTTGTAGGATCTGACACATGTGATGTTAGCAGGCAGCTGCTTAAGGCTGATCACTCAGATCTGGACTCTGCTCTAGGCACTGAACCTTACAGCAAACAGGATGAAAAAGGTTCTGGCCATTAGAAAGTAGTATCTGATGCCTTCCAAAGTCATAATTCCCTGACATTATCTGATGCCTTCCAAAGTCATAATTCCCTGACATTTTATATAACATTAATTGCTCCTAAAAAGCCTTAAAGGGTAACTAAACATTTCTTGAGAAAGAAAAATGAATCCCCTCTGGGTGATCTGTGTACATCACATAGATTTTAACAAACTTTGTTGCGGATTCCTACCTGCTTCTATTCTGAGGAAAAAACTGTTTGTTTCTCCATTTCCTTACCAAACTGATTCCTGACTGGGAGGGTCTGGTTTAATATAACCATCTGTTGCACATTCAGTACTTTGGTGAAGAAAGCTGCGGTGAATGGATCCCTTTAGAAGTAGTTAACCCTTAGGGAATATTTTACAAAAAAATAAGGTCTTATTGCAGGGGATTCCCAAAATCTGCCTTGTATCTTAGAGCAGATGTCTGAGAAAATTAGTTAGCCAATCACACAAGCAGGAAATTACATTTCTGGAGCCATTATGTAAATCAAGTGTTTTAGTTGTTTTCATCATAGTCATAATGATGTTAGGCCTGCCTCTGATGATGTCATACATATAATGTGGCTATTGTATTGTGTATTGTATTGTAAAGTAGGGTTTTATCTGAATGGGGCTACTTCTTGATAAATGTGGATTTCAGGCAGAATGGGAGTAAGACTAAGTTGTTCTGGTTTGAAATCTGTTGGGAATTACATTAATAATGCATTTTACAGTAGATAGAATAACCATTTCTTAGCATAATAATTTGTAATAAAACTATATTTTGCCTTTGCAGAATGTCTGGACAAGTAGTCAGCAATGTGAGCGTCTGTAAGTATAGAATGATTCTGTGACTACAGCATTTCTTTTAATATTGTTTAATGGAAGAGAAAATAAAACTCTTATTTTTATTTCCAGCTGTAGTTGGTGGAGGTTCTTCTGCCGGCGGAAGTGGATTTGGAAGTGGATATGGTGTTGGAGGAGGAAGTGGATATGGTGTTGGAGGAGGAAGTGGATATGGTGTTGGAGGAGGAAGCGGATATGGTGGAGGAGGAAGCGGATATGGTGTTGGAGGAGGAAATTGCTATGTTGTTGGAGGAGGAAGCAGCTATGGCGGTGGAGGCCAAGGATCTGGCAATTACAACCAATCATCTACAAGATCCTCGGTAGCTGTGTCAAAAACAGTAACATCCTCAGTCAAGCAATCCTATTAAGATGCACCACTGTCATAGCACTAATTCCCACCCTTCAAAGCCAAACCTCACTATACCTTTGTCAGTGTGCTCAAATGGAAGAAGCTTCACTAGTTATCTTCAGTTGTATCAATCTGGTCCTTTCCTTTTTTGTTCTTAGATATATGCCTGACTATAATTTAAACCATCTATGCTTCCCTATTACAACAACCCATAAACTGGTTTTATGCAATAAGATTTTGATTGGCTAATTACACAAACTTTGCCAACAAACCTATTAGATGGAGTGTTCCTAAACAGCCCATTTAGTTAAATCCAGTAGGATGGCTCTCATATTGCACAGGTGCTGGTAAAATCTGATTAAATCAGAATATTACTGTGTATGATCAGTTTAAAAATTCCCATTTATTAGGGTCATCGACTAAAAAGGGATCAAGAACATAGTCTCAAATATGAAAAGAAAACTGCAGTACAGCATATATAAAGCAGAATATGAAACCAAACAGCATGTGCAAGGGTATCATGTATGAATGTAACTGCACTGTATTTGCACTGTAGTCAGTCCTAGGCATCCCTTCTTCTGTGTTTTTTGTGAAGTAATGGATGACAGCGATTCCAGGTGTTTGTTGTATATAAAATCCTTTATGATGCGTTACTGGATTACCCAATCCCAGGCTTGCATTTCTTGTCTTTTCTTTATATCTTCAATAAACTGCATGTAGATCTCAAATCTGTTGTTGTATTCTTATTGCTTTATTTTTTTTTGCTTTTAAAGATTTCCAGCCTTATTTTTGTAATTTTATAATACAGTACATGGTGGTGAACTACAGTGTCATGTGATAAACCTAAGAGCAAGAATCTTTCTTTAATCATAAACTGAAATTTTTTCAGTTTTTAGGCTTTTTTCATTTATTTTCACCTGTTGACCCTGCCAGTAGCACACTTCCTGTTATAGGGTGACAACACTTATTCATCGTACTGTATCTATGGTCAGGGCAGCCATAAGAAATTTTGGGATCCAGTACACGGCTTTAAGCTGGGGCCTCCCGCACCGCCTCCACCCACCGCCGCCACACTGAGCCAATTCCTCTGACAGAGGAGCTTACACTCTAATGTCCCCCCAGTCACACACTGTTATTATTAGGGATGCGCCGATACTGGTTTTTCGTTATCGAGTACCAATATTTTTGTTTTCGGTACTCGCCGATACCCAATCCCAGAAGTCTCATTAAGGAAGCCGGGCGGCGTGTAATGAGTCTCCACTGGGCTTCCCGATTAGCAGGGAAGCCATCTCTATGCTTCTTGTTAACAGGTGACAAGAAAGCTTGGAGGTGGCTTTTCCGGTCAATCAGGAACCTGGGCAGTGTGTAGTGACTCGCTGCCCGACTTCCTGATGTCTGAAGCTAAGGTATCGGGCTTGGCATTGGAGCACTTGGAAGAGTACTCGCCCAAATACTCGGTATCGGTGCATTCCTAGTTATTATTATACATTTATATACCACTGACATATACCACAATGCTGTACAGAGAACACTGAGCCAGTCACATCAGTCTCTGTACAGAGGATCTTACACTCTAATGCAGAATGGCACCAGCTGTAGGGGGACTACAAATCCCAGCAATACACTATAATGTATTGCTTACATAATATAATAATGCAGAACATGATATGAATTGGACTCTGCACTTAGCACTGGACTTGGGGCTTAGTAACATGCTGATCAAGTATAGGAATGTCACCAGCACGACAACGACTTAAATCGTCAGTCAAAATCCATTTATTGATGTCAATCATTACAAGCGCTTTTGGGGCCGCACAGGGTCCCCTTCATCAGGCTCAAAATAAACATCCTTACAATCAAAAACCACCACCTATATATACACACAGTGAAACTGATAATCATCCAAAAACCCACCAATAAGAGCTGAACGCCGGTCTGTGTTCAATCGTTTAAAGCTCATTGTAGGATCGTGAGCTTATTCTATAGCA